AAACACAGGGAATCCAGGACAGATGATCCCTTCAGGACCAGTGGTGAGAGTGGCGATACCGGGATGGTGGAGGGAAGGTGGGGTAGAAAGAGGGAACCGATTACAAGGATCTTCATATAACTCCCTCCCTGGGGTACAGAAACTGAAAAGTGGGTGAAGGGAGACATTGGACAGTATAAGACATGACAAAATAATAATAATTTATAAATTATCAAGGGTTCATGAGGGAGGGGGGAGCAGGGAGGGAGGGGTAAAATGAGGAGCTGATACCATGGGCTCAAGTAGAAAGCAAATGTTTTGAGAATGATGATGTCAACAAATGTGCAAGTGTGCTTGACACAATGGATGCATGGATTGTGATAAGGGTTGTATGAGTCCCCAATAAAATGATTTTTTAAAAAGGCATCAAGAAAGCAACATTCACAATAACCACACAAAGTAGAAATACTAGGAATAAATCTATCCAAGTAAAGAAAGACCTGTATAGAGACAACTGCACAACATTAATACAAGAAACTAAAAGAGACCTAGACACATGGAAGAGTATCTTGTATTTATGAATAGGAAGATTCAATATTGTGAAAATATTGATACAACCTAAAGCAATCCAAATCCAAATTCCAAAGCCTACAAATTCAATGCAATCCCATCCCAAATTCCAACATTATCCTTTAAAGAAATGGAAAAATTAATTACTGTCTTTGTATGGAGAGGGGAGAAGCCCAGGATAAGCAAAGAATTTCTCAAAAAAGATGAACAAATTAGATGGCTTTGCACTATCTGACCTCAGAACGTACTACACAGCCACAGTTGTCAAAACAGCCTACTACTGGTGAATGATTAATACATAGGCAAATGGAGCGGAACCAAAAGCCCCCAAATAAAAGCATTCTATAGACAGCTGATTTTTGATAAGATGATTTTCGACATGAAGATTCTAGACCAAGAAACATTAAATGGAAAGGGGATGCCTTCTTCAACAAATGATGCTGGAAAAACTGGATATCCCTTTGCAGAAGAATGAAACAGAATGATACCTGATCTCAAGAACAAAAATGAGCTCAAGGTGATTAGAGACCTAAATGTAAAACCCAAAGCTAGCAGGATCATCAATAAGAAAGTTGGGACAAATCTAATTGCCCTGGTGTAGGGCATACATGGACTCCCAGAAGCACACACAGAAGAAGACAGAATAGATGCCTGAAATCTATTAAAGGGAAAACCCTTGTGTACATCCAAAGATTTAATCAAAAGAGTAAAACGAGAGTTCACAGATGGGAAAAGATAATTAGCAATGGCATAATGGACAAAGGACTATTTACTAAAATCTACAGAATACTGCAACACAACAAGAAAAAACAAATAATCCTCTTAAAAGGTGGACCTTAATAGATTATTCACAAAGGATGACACCTGACTGGCTCACAAGCACACGAGGAAATACTCTTATTCACCAGCCATCTGGGAAATGCAATATCAAAACAACGATGAGATACCATCTAACATCCAGAAGCATGGGCCAATTTTTAAAAAGCCGAGAACAACAAATGCTGAAGAGGGTGTGGAGAGATTAGAGCTCTTATACACTGCTGGTGGGCTTGTAACTTTCTAGAGGAGGAGGAAAAATAAAGACCAACAGCTCTTTTAAGGACACTAAAGGTTCTCACCCTTCCTCTTGCCGTGACCCTTTAATACAGTTCCTCATGCTGTGGTGACCCCCTAACCCCAAAATTATTCTTGTTGCTACTTCATAACTGTGATTTTGCTGCTATTACAAATCAGGCAACCCCTGTGAACGAATTGTTCGACCCCCAAAGGGGTCGCAACCCACAGGTTGAGAACCGCTGCTAAAGGGGAAGTATGCCTGGTACTATACTGCTGATAGACCATATTGTTCTGGGCTTCTGTACATGCCCTGGGGATCAGGTCATATGCCATAGAACACTGGGCCATTGAACCTTGTATCTTCAAGGCACACAACACACTCCAAAGGCCGTCCCAGAAGGATGTGATGTGGAAACCCCCGTAGGTGAACTAAGCACACCTGTAACCCAAAGAATGAAGACTTAAATTATGTAGTGCATGAAGAACTAAGGTGAACTAAGCACACCTGTAACCCAAAGAATGAAGACTGAAATTACATAGTGCATGAAGAAGCAGAAGACAGAGTTTTGAACCGTTGATAGATGGACTAATATCTACTTAGGAATTCAATGCCCTACTTGCTGTGTCAAAATATTAAAATATCCTGGTAGAGCTTTATCTGACATGGTCAGTGAATATTATTGTAAGTTTTGCCTGACCACTAACTCCTGTTGTTGGTGTAAATAGTATCTAGTCGTGTAGGGATTTAATCTGTACAAGTCAATAATCCGTGTACTGTGATTTACAGTTTGCCCAAAATTCTTCTATATCCCTTTCTCAATAGTCTTTCAAAATTATTTTCAGGGCTAAACCAATGACACTATAAACAGAAGGTCCTCCTGCTCCAGGGACATGATTGATAAAATATCTACCATATAATAACAAGGATGTCTCTAAGGTGAGCCAGACACAGACAGAAGACATAGATTCAGGAATGGATTTTGGGCTCACACTTACGCCTAGGTCCAATCTAACAACAGTTACTTCACAAGACATGTCCCTGCTCAATACTCTCCCTCATGCAGGAAACATGGGAAAGATGGGTGCAATAGCAAAGTGTGGTGAAGACATTAGATGGCACCTAGCTAACAGAAAGCATAGTGTCTGGGGTCTTAAAGGCTTGTTTTCAGACCTTTAAGTGAGACCTCAACTAAGGCAATATCTAAGAAACATGCCTAAATCCGTGATTCTTGGATTGTAAATTATATAGACCAAATCAGAAAGAGGAGATAGTATCAAAGCTTAAATTGTGAGATTCTGGTGTGCAGAAGGGCATGGATGACAGTGGAAGCCCAACATACATTTTCAGGTTATTCATAGGGAATAAGCCTCCAGCGATTTCCCTCTAACCATAATTTAGGGGTGGGGATATCAGACAGAATATTGTAGACATGAATATAATAACTCTGACTTTAATGGTTAAAACTTGTTATCTAATCCCCCCTTTGATACACTTTGTGCTTGATCTGGTTTTTAATATTTGCTGTTTTTCCCCCATATTGGTGTTCAAAGTCTCTATTGTATTTTGTCGTTGTTGGTAACTTTCTTGATTCTCTGCTATGCATTTTTCTATGTTTTTTGGTATATGAAAACCAGGATGGATAAACAAAATAATAAAGAAAGAAGAAAATCAGGATAGCTGCATGTATAGAGACAGTAGGTAGAATAAGGTTTCCTGGGGGTACACAGGGGAGTTCACAGGTGGGTAGTGGGGCATAGATACCAAGGAGACCAAGAAGGAAGAAAAAATATAGCGAGACATATCTAGAAGCAGTGGCTTCTAATTTCAATAATTCTGTTAAGTAATAAATTAGTGAATAGGATAATTGATATTTTATTTTCAAAACCTGTTGCAAATGGAAATTTCAGTTATTTACCTTGTCTTGTGAGACCCTCCCTCATATGGCATCATTTGCTGTCAAAGGCTGAAGAAGGCATCCTTTTTTCCGAACAAGACGCTCCATTTCGTAAAGTGCAGTTCCCAACACTACCTCCCCACCCCACCCCCCACTCCCACCGCCAAAAAGCACATACGTTCATTTCTGTGAATTGCTACTATATGCAAAGTCCATAATAGTTAACATTGAAGCCCTAGGCTGCTCACTGCCAGCTCGAGTCCTCTGGGGGGAGATGTGACATCTGCTGCTGTAGAGATGCTCAGTCTTGGGAACCGTGTGGGACAGTTCTGTTCCGTCTGACAGGGTCGTTTTGAATTGGAATCAACTTTCCATGATTTGTGTACTTTCTCCCTATTTCAATAGGGGTACCGGGGATACAAGTTGTTCTGCTAAGCCCAAGGCTAGCAGTTTGGAACGACCAGCCTGTGCGAGGGAGAAAGATGAGTCTGTGTCCTTCCATAAAGAATGACCGTCCCGACGGCCCGTAGAGTTAGTTAGGTCTACTCCATCGTTTGAGTCAGAATCACTTGACTCCATGGCCGTGATTTTGGTTTTTTGAGAATCACTGTGTGTATATAACTTTAAAATGCCTGGCTCCCCTATAACTAATATTTCTTAACTTACTGACTTTTGTGGGATTTTTTACATTTAGTTATTGCTGGGTTTTTATGCGTTCTTGATAAAGTTTCTCGACAAAGATATATTGGGTGACTGAATATTTGGCACAAAGTCTTTTTCTCTCATCTCCTCCTCTCCTCCAAATTCATTGAGATCCTATGTCGTCACAAATGAAAGAGCCTTGGTGATGCTGTTGGGTAAGCAGTGGACTGCTGCTACGCCCAGCTGGCGGTTCAAACCTACCAGCCGCTCTGTTGGGGAAAGAGGAGGCTGTTTGCTCTTGTGCAGCTTTGTAGCCTTGAACACCCTATGGTTTTTTTTTGGTTTTTTTAAACATTTTATTAGGGGCTCATACAACTGTTATCCCAATCCATACACACATCAATTGTGTAAAGCGCATTTGTACATCGTTTCTCAAAACATTTTCTCTCCACTTAAACCCCCGACATTAGGTCCTCATTTTTCCCCTCCCTCCCCGCTCTCCCCTCCCTCATGAGCCCTTGATATTTTATAAATGGGTATTTTATCATATCTTGCCCTGTCCGACTTCTCCCTTCACCCACTTTTCGATTGTCTGTCCCCCAGGGAGGAGGTCACACACAGTTCCATGTAATCGGTTCCCTGTTTCCTACCCATTCTCCCTTTACCCTCCCTGTTTTGCCACTCACACCACTGGTCCTATAGGGCTCATCCGCCCTGGATTCCCTGTATTTTCAGTTCCTATCTGTACCAGTGTACATCCTCTGGTCTAGCCAGACTTGCAAGGTCGAACTCGAGTCATGGTAGTGGGAGTGGGGAGGAAACATTTAGGAACTAGAGGAAAGTTGTATTTTTCATCGTTGTTACATCACATCCTGTGACTGGCTCATCTCCTCCCCGAGACCCCTCTGCAAGGGGATCTCCAGGAACACCCTATGTTGGGTCACGATGCGTAGGGATCAACTTGATGCCAGTGGGTTTGGGGTTACTCTGACAAGTCAGAGAAGTAGTCCTCAGAGAAATTGTGTTAAAATAAGAAGAAACAAAGGTTCTTACATGGATCGAGGATAAAATAATAAAAATGTCAGAGTGAGCTATGTGTTGCTTCTTGTTCCCCAGTCTCCAATCATTGGGACTTCAAGCCTTCTATTAAACGATTTCGATTTAAAATGCTGGTGTGTGCATTGAGGGAGGACCCAATAAATACGACATGAGTTTCACCAGAGATAATGCTTAAGAGTGACTATAGTATGGCTATTTATTTTATTAGGTATTATAATTTACCATATGTTTTCATAGCTCATTTTATTAGTAATTTGAGTATTTGAGCCATTATTTCTGTTCATATCTGGAATGAAAACATGTTCAAAACAGTTTTATATAATTTCTATGAAGCACATTTATCTCCACTTCAGGGATTCAATTAATTGAATGCAGTGCTCCTAAATATCTTCACTTGCTGGTTCTGAAAATTCATCTCTGAAGCTTTTTACATAATAATAGCTCTATTTTTAGAGAAGAATCTTGTACAGGGATTTAAAAAGGCATGTATTTTGATATACAATCTAATTTTCGTTTCTTATTGCAGTATGCAGGCTTCCGAAATAGCTCTAACAGTCCTATTCCTGTGGAGCAGCTGCTAGGTGCAGACCACCGATCTCTGTTATCTGTTGGGACAGGCATTCCGTTTTCTTTATCAAAATCATCAGGGATGTCAAATGAAATATTTCCGTGTTTCTTTGTAAATTGTAATCAGCTCGATAACAATATGTACCTGAACAGTATATGAATAGCTAGCAGAGAAACCACACAACCACTGTGTGACTTGTGCACTGTGAAGTATGGCTACAGCAAACTGCACACCAAACTTGGTGTCATCACGTCCGCTCTGACTCAGCGTGCCCCCAGAGAACAGGGAAGAACTTCTTTGCGTTTAGAAGACTCTAAAGTTTTACAGCCGTCAAGTTCAGGTTCCGCCGAGCAGTGGGTGGATTTGAACAATGCGCCAGTGGGGAGCAGCTCAGGACATAGCCCAGTCTACCACCAGGCCTCCTCTAAAGTAGGTATCATCAATGCAAGACAAAGAAAGTGGTTCAGGGAAAAGAATATATAAATTCAAATGAGGACAATGAATTTATGTTCACAGCAATGGAATAATCTGAAAAAAGACAGGTACCACGCCTCAGGGAAGGCACACCTTAGTCCTCAAAGTGCATCCTTGCTTTTTCACACTTTAAAGAGGTTTTGTGCAGTAGTTTAACCGATGAAATGTGGTTTGGTCTCTTGACTGCTGCTTCCGTGAGAACTGATTGTGTGACCCAGCAAGACGAAATTCTTGATGACGTCAATCTTTTCTCTGTTTATTATGATTTACCTATTGGTCCAATTGTGAGGAATTTTGTTTTCTCTACATTGCGTTTTAATTCCAATTAAAGGCTGAAACCCTTGATCTTCATTATCTGAACGTGAGGAGGACTCAAAGCATTTCCTTTACATTATTGTTGTATTGCACCCTAATAAAAAGTGCTATATTCTACCGTGTATCTGAAACTCCATCGTTTCTGATCGTATCTGAGGCTCAATATTCATACTGGGTGCCAGACCGAAGAGGATAACCAGGAGTAGGTCCAGGAGAAAGGAACCATGGCAGAGAAATGAAATGAAATCGTGTTAGATAGGAAGCAACTAGAGAAGATGGACATATTGTGCTTACAATAGGCCAGACAAGATATTTTCGTTATGAAAGATATATGATGGAAAAAGAAAACATTTTATTAAATATGTAACAGAAGCCGTTTTCTGTGTTGTATCTTTTTTATGTTTACAAGCTAACATAGTAGTTGTTGTTCCTTCGCATCAAATCAATTCTGACTCCTGGCAACTCCATGTATATCAGAATAGAACTGTGCTCCACTGAGTTTTCAAGGCTGAGACCTCTCAGAAGAGCAATAGGTCTGTCTTCTGAGCCACCTTTGGGTGGTTTGAAGTACCAATTTATTTCTGTCTGTTTCAAGAGTGTTATTGACACTATATCCACTATACTCCATAACCCGAAAAACCTTCTGAAACTTAGAATTTAAGCTCAAATACAATTCTCTCCTCTAGTCTTGGATTTTATTTTTTAGAGTCTTTGGATCACACATGCTGGTGTGCTTCTTTCACATGAACTTAGATGATAAGAGGTGCCAACTTCACCATTTGTGCAGTGAGTTACAATACTCAATTATCCATTTTACCAGCATTATGGATCTCTGCCTGATATGACCAGGGATACCCCCAACTCCCACATGTACTATGCACATATCATGGGTCTAACTTACAATGATAGAGTACAGTCGTTGAAAGAGCTGTCCTATAATTTAGTTAAGGGCAGATAGCAAGTACCTCCAAAGATAATATTTTAGTTCCATCCTGTAACTGACTGGGCAGAATATCTTCACTGTGTTGTACTATGTAATATGGTCTGTTAGTCCATCATCCTGGGCTGGTGATAGGGTAGTGTTTTTGTGGTTATGGACTGTCCAGCCTACTTCAAACCATACTCACTACCATCCAGTCTAGTCCAACTCATGGTGTGTCCATAGGACAGAGTACAATTGCCACTATGGATTTTTTCCGAGGCTGTAAATCTTTAAAGATGCAGAAAGCCCCTTCTTCTGAGGAGCAGCTTAGAGATTAAACCATTGACTGTCTGCTTTGCAGCCTAACTCCTAACCCATTATGACATCAGAACTCCTTACCCACCTTATATGTCAGAGGAAGGCTGTCCACAGCGTATCTAAAACCATCGGTGGGTTTGAACTTCCAAACTCACTTCCATAAGTTGATTTCAACTTATAGTAACCTTGTAGAACTTCCTCTGTGGGTTTTCCCAGATGCGAACAGAAAGCCTCATCTTTTTCCCACATGGTGGGTTCAAACTGCTGACCTGGTGGTGAACAGCCCAATAAGTAACCTGCTATGTGACCAAGGCTCCATAGACAGGAAAAGAAACAGGAAACACACACACATTCAATCAGTGAGTGCCATTAAGTTAATTCTGACTTCTATAGGGTTCTGAGACTAAAGGTGTTTATGGAATCAGCGAGCCCCATCTTTTTCCCAAGCAGTAGCTAAGCCCAAGAATGAATGTAATTTTGTGACTTCTTGGTAAATAAATGATGATGTACATCTAAGGTAAGTAACCTTTAAGCTTCTCTTTCTCCTGCTCAGGAATCATTTACTTGGCATCAACCCTTGGTAACTTGGACTCTCCTACACTCTCCCTGGAGGTGTGTGCTCGAGATGGTGGTGGACTCACATCTCCCGTTAATGCTGACGTCACCATACACGTTCTCCCGACAGCTCTGTTGGCTGCTGAATTTGAAAGGCCCAAGTATACCTTTTCCGTTTCTGAGGATGTACCTGAAGGGAGTCCCGTCGGAACAGTGAAAGTTACAGAGCCCTTGAGTAAGTACCTTTTGTACCGCTTTTAGGTTCATAATTGGAGTATTTCTTAGAGCATTTTCAGACTATACAATTTACATCACTACTTTCTTGTCTCCATATTAGCCAATGCAGTTCCTCTCTTTTATAGATATACATATTTTTTTCTGATCACAAGGTCAAAATTCAAAACTTACAGTCACCAGTTCCAACTCATGGTGACCCTATATAGGATGGAGCAGAACTGCTCCTGCGGGTTTTGAGACTAAATCTGGATGAGAGAGAAGAGAGTGCATAAACTTTATCCCGCAGAGTAGCAGGCAGTTTGAAACTGCGAGCTTTGTGGTTAGTAGTTCAACAGGTAATCCAGTATGCCACCAGGGCAATAAGAACGTTTAAAATAAAATTTTAATGAACACACAATATAGAAATGTAGAAGTGTAAATCCCCTATAACCCACTTGATCCTTCAGAGCAAGTTCATTTTTTGTTTTTGCAAACATGTGATTTTTTTCTGTGACTCTTATTTGCCTCATTTACTAGATGCTGAACATCATTCTGTTTCATAAAAATAGTTTCAAAGAACTTCAACTAGCATATAAATTATTTAAATATTTCCCATTGGTTATTGAAAGGAAGAACACGCCCAGCATATCATACACTGAAAGAACGAAAGAAACATTTCTACACTTGAGTTGTAATATTAAAAGATCCTCTGTGAAAAAAACATTGACTGAGGCAGGAATCACCCATAGAAGATGGAAAGAAAACAGTCACTGTACCCCAAAGATCTAGTCAATATTCAATCATTGCAGTTTGTATCATGTGAGCAAGAACCAATGGTACTGACTGGAGAAGTCCAAACTGACAGGAAAGCATTCGCTGAAAACAAGGCTCCAGGAATTGGTGGGACACCAAGTGCAATGTTTCAACAAGCTGATGAAGTAGTGGACGTGCTCACTTCCCTATGCCAAGAAATTTGCAGGACAGCTATTTGGCCAACTGCCTAGAAGATGTGCATATTTGTCCCCATTCCGAAGAAAGGTGACCTAAGAGAATGAATGCTCACATTGTAGAACAATGTCATTGATAATCACTTGCAAGTAACATTTTGCTGAAGATCATCCAACAGTGGTTTCAGTGGTACATTAACAGGCTGCTGCCAGAGGTTCAGGCCAAATTCAGAAGAGGGCATGGGACAAGGGATATCAGTGCTGCTGTCAGCTGGATCTTGGCTGAAAGCGGAGAGTACCAGGGAAATGTGCGCGTGCGCTTCACAGACTGACTCTGTGCTTCCAACAGACTGAATAGCCTTCAGAAGGATACGGGTTCCAGAACCTCTCGTGACCCTCCTACAGAACCTGCGCACAGATCACGAGGCGGTTGTGAGAGCAAAATAAGGGAATGCTGCATGGTTAAAATCAGGACAGGTGTGCTTCAGGGTTGTATCATCTTACTATATTTATTCAGACCGAATAATGAGCAAGTAATCAAAGAAGCTGGATTATATAAAGAAGAATTAGTATCAGGATTAAAAACCCGTGATATGCAGATGACACAAAGGGAGGAGGGCTTGAAGCACTTGCTGATGAAGATAAAAGATTGTAGCTTTCAGTAGGGATTGCAACTCAGTGTCTTGCAAACAAAAAACCCCCACAACAGGACCAATAGATAACATAAACAGAGAAAAGATCGAAGTTGTCCAGAATCTCATCTTGCTTGGATCCACAATCAATGCTCATGGAAGCAGCAGTCAAGAGATCACATGATTCATTGCATAAGATAAAGCCACGGCACAACATTCTTTAAAGTGTTGAAAAGCAAGGGTGTTACTTTGAGGACTAAGGTGCCCGTGACTCAAGCCATGGTATTTTCAGTTTCCTCCTATGCATATGAAAGTTGGACATTGAAAAAGGAACACAGAAGGAAATGGATGCATCAGAATGATGGTGTTGGTGAAGAATATTGAAAAGACCCTGGACTTCCAAAAGAACAAACAAATCTGTCTTGGAAGAAGTACAACGAGAAGGCTCCTTGGAGACAAGGATGGCCCGACTTGGTCTCACAGAGTCTGAACAAGTGATGAGGAGCAACCAGTCCCCGTAGAAGAACAATATGTTTGTGTAACTCGAGGAGCGTTGACACAGTGGCTGCAACAATGGGCGCAAACACAATTGTGAGGACGGCGCAGGACCGGGCAGTGTCTCCTTCTGTTGCGCATAGGGTTGATCTGAGTTGGAACTGATTTGATGGTACCTAACAATACCAACATTCAAACAGGTCCTATTTGATGTTCGTTTGAAGGGGTCCCCGTGTTTGCTTGTTCAAATCGTGCAGGAGCATGTCCTTTTTCTTTCACCGTCACGAAAGAGCCTCTGCGGGATCAATCCCTACAAGTGAGGTCTTGTCCAGAGATCTCGTCACCCTCTCGGCTCCCTCCACTTCGTCCCTCCGCCTCCTCTCAACCTTTGTAGAGGGTTCTCCGAAGATGGGAGATTAGATCATAAGAGACACATAAACCCAATCTAACTGTAGTTTTCTCAAATATGTTTTAAAAGTTTCCAAATTCTGCTCTGCACATCTTTCCCCTTTAACGGAATGCAAGAAGGAAGGAGTGGAAATTTAACTTAAGCTTCCAAAGCCAGATATAAAGAAATAGCTTACCAAAGCTATATGTTCCTTGTCAAGTTCCAGTCCTGAAGGGTGACACGGGGCTACTGTAGTCTCCGGGGTTCTACCAATTTATTTCTGACTAGTAAGCCTAGTCTTTTTTTTGGTTTCATTATTTTATGTTCTGTCCCCATTTTTCTCCCATTGTAACCAGCACTTTCTATTGAGATTGCTTTCAGAGCACCATCTAGTTTTTTGGTTCCTGGGTTGTGGAGATTGATGTACACGTGGCTTCTTAGTCCACTGACAAATTATTTCCATGTATCATTGATTTCCTGCATTATTCTTTTCTCCATACATGTACGCCACTCCCTCTGGCCCCTCCATACTGTGATTATTTTCTTTCTCTCTCTTCCCCCCCGCAGATTCCACAGAACCAATTTTTTACAGAATCACTTCTGGGGATCTGGATGGAACGTTCTCTATCCACCCATGGCTGGGCTCCATCTGTACGCAGAAGCCTCTGGATCGTGAGACACAGCCCGTGTTTGTGCTCACTGTCCAGGCACAGTTGACCAACTCCCCAGTCTGCAGCAGCACCCAAGTCAGCATAACTGTCCTTGACATCAATGATAACCACCCAGCTTTTCTCACCAACGCTGATGAGGTTAAACTATCTCAGCACACACCACCTGGCACAGCCTTGTACTTCACCCGAGCAGAGGACAAAGACAGTGACCGAAATGGATTTATCCAATACTCCATTGCCAGCCAGCCCTCAGGCACCTTCACCATTGACCCAGGCCTTGGGGTAGTGTACCTCAATAAGAGTCTGGGAGGGGCCCCACCACAGAAGTACATAGTCAGGGTCATGGCTAAGGACCGAGGAGTTCCTTCTCTGGCATCCCAGTTGGTGTTGACTGTAGTTATTGAAAAACAAGAAACAAACCCACCCCTGACATTTGAAAATTTGGTCTATCAAGTTGAAATTAGTGAAGCCCTCTCACCAACTACTCAACTGTTACAAATCCAGGCCCATGTACATGGCCCACAGCACACAACTTCACAGCTCCTGTACTCCCTGGAACCCAGTATAGACTCTGCCCCATTTGGCATCAGTGTTGACAGTGGGTGGGTATATTTGAGGAGACAGCTGGACTATGAATCCCAACGAACATATAATTTTAGAGCGTTTGCCTGGATTCCAGGGGATGGGGCGCTGCGACGCGTGAGCGCCTCAGTAATTGTCCATGTCCTGGATGAGAACGACAATTCTCCTGTCTTCTTGCATGATGTGTTGTTTTTGAAAGTCAAGGAGAGTCCTATTCCTCAAGGGACAATAGGCCAAGTTACAGCCGTGGACAGAGACTCTGGGAAGAATGGACAGCTCTCCTATTTCCTGCTGTCTGCTGGAAAATTCTTCAAGGTGAATCCTAATACAGGTAGTGTATGGTAGCTTCCACCTATGTATTTAACAGTTCGGATGGACAGAACTCCAGTTTTCCAAGTTTAGCATTAGTACAAACTCATAATTAAAGCTGTAGTTTATGATGAATCCACATATTCAATTATAGTATTGTATGACTTTAAAATGAACCAAAACCTGAACAGATGTTTTCCTGATAATTTGTATTTCTCTTGTCTTACACCCTTGCTAATACAGACTTCCTATTCTGACTCATATCTCTTAGAAGGAGTTGAATAAATCCTTGGGGAAAGTCCAAATTTTATAACCAACTACTCTTCTCCCTTGGCAGACTTTTTAAAAGGTTAAAACATTTTATGAAATATAAACTTCATCAAGGTTAGAGTAGAAATCGATCTATTAGTTAAGATTCTGATCTCCTTTATTTTGGTAAGGGGACTAGAGAAAGAAGCACAGTTTACTGTAAGTGTTTTTAAAGGTTTAATTGAGAAGTGAAATATAAATTGGTTACTTTATTTTATATTCCATGAATTTTCAAGGCAGTTATTTAATTTTATGACCACTTAGAAATGAAACATGAATATCCAAACCTTGTAGTTGAGGAAACAAGTTCAGATAGCCTGAGGAACTTGCCCTACATCATGAAACCAGCACAGCAGGAAGACAGAGAAAACCATCCTTTGTGCAATACCAGAGGGCGGCATTTATATCCAAACCCAAACACCAGCTGCCACCAGGGTGATTCCAACTCGCAGCAGCCCTACACAGGATTTGAATCCTGTGAATCTTCATGGGAGCAAACAGCTCCTGCAGAGCAGCTAGTGGATTTGAACTGTCAAACTTGTGGTTAGCAGCCCAACACCTATCCCACACCAGCAGCAGCATTCTGTGCAAATGGCACCCGTTGCCCTTCGCTGGGGACAGCATTTGAAATCCGCTGTGATGGACGTTCAGCCTTTACGGCATCTTTATGTGTGAACTAGAAAGGTCTGCTTCTCCTCCAGGCAAACGTAGCTTCTCACCAGATGGGTGGTTTGCCAAGAAGAGGGTCAGCTGGATTTCCGGTCCAGTACCCTCCTGAAGCCAGGACCCTTCTGCCCTGCAGGACACATACTGTTCCCCTGTGCACAATGGACTTGCTTGCCCTTCACTTCTGCCTGGCTAGATTCCCTCGGTATTTCGCTTCAATGGATTTGTTTTTCCTAATACATACACACTCTTTTTTTTATCGGGGGGTGGGGGTGGGGGGGCTCATATAGCTCTTATCACAATACATACTTACATCCATTGTTTCAAGCACATTTGTACATTGGTTGCCATCATCATTCTCAAAACATTTCCTTTCTACATGAGCCCTTGGTATCAGCCCCTCATTTCCCCCTTCTCTCTCCAACCCTTCCTCCCTCACGAACCCTTGATACTTTATACATTCTTATTTGTTCATGTCTTACACTGACCGATGTCTCCCTTCGCCCACTTTTCTGTCGTCCATTGGTTCCTGTCTCTCCCAATTAGTCCAGTCTCCAGATTCAGAGATTAGGCATTCATTCCTTTTGTTTTGCGACCTTAAGCCAGTAGCTTAACCTCAGAGCTTCAGTTTCCTTCACATGATTAGAGGTTATCATTCCTGATATGATCTGGGTCTTGTTCTGAGAGCACCCTTCAGTGCTCAACAGGCATGCATACCCTCCACATCCTGATGGCCTGAGACCTCATAGTGCGATGGTTCTCAGCCTTCCTAATGCCACGACCCTTTAATATAGTTCCTCATGTTGTGGTGACCCCCAACCACAAAATCTTTTTTGTTGCTACTTCATAACTGTAATTTTGCTACTGTTATGAATTGTAATGTAAATATCTGGTATGCAGGATGTATTTTAATTGTTACAAATTGAACATAATTAAAGCATGGTGATTAATCACAAAACAATATGTAATTATATATTGTGAAATATTTATGTGTTTTCCGATGGTCTTAGGTGACCCTGTGAAAGGGTCGTTCGACCCCCAAAGGGGTCGCGACCCACAGGTTGAGAACCTCTGTGATAGTGTATGTTAAAGACAAACCATTGTTCAAGGACTAGTGTTTGATTTCTAGAAAGACTTTTTTTTTTTGCTATTGCTTTGAAGAAATAATAACAATTACCATGTAGGCCTATAAATTGGAATAGACTTGACAGACACTTTATTGTTTTTAATGTGTGCCATAATTTACATTTTACAAGATATTTTAAAATTCATAATTGTATTTGCTTTTGCTAGCATCCATAGGAAGTCAGATGAGAGAGACCATTCGATTTCTGAGGTGCAGGTAGGGAGATCCAAGCCCAGATCTTAGGATGTTAAAATTCATGTATTTCCCACTATTCTGTGTCACACCATGGAGAGGAATCAACAGTAATTTTACATCTTTCTAATTATTAAAAAATTCCCATGGAGTGTTTTATTACATCCCACTCCTCACTTGTCACCATGGTTAGGTTCCAAAGACCAAGTCCTTATGTAAAAAGCAGTGTGATGCACTGAGATAAACAAAAATACAGGAAGACTACATCATTACATAACTGCTATGTTTCATCGTTACATGTCGATGTATATTACTTCATAGCTTCCAAACGTATGAAATCCATTCTCCAGACAAGCGGACATGTAACCGACCGTAACCAGCACACCAGAGTTATTCTTACTTTGCACTTACAGCGATAAGGTGTTGATAACAAGATGGCCGATAAGTGAGGAGTAGGTATCTTTGGTTTTATGTATTCCATTTCTAGATCAAATAGTTGTGGTAGATCTTTTGAAATGAAAACAATGGCGATTTTAAGTTTGCATTTTCAGTAGCAACTTTAGAAAGTTCTTTGCACGGTAGAAGCCACAACTATGCCTCTCACATGTGATCTCTTGGAAGCTGTGTTTTCACTCCGAGCTTGGCATTTGACATCCTTTGTGACCGTCATTTCGGATGCGGTTTAGAATGCCTTTTCCCTCTTTCTGTTCTGCGTTCCTCAGGGGAACTTATCAATTGGGTGGCACTGGACCATGAGCATCAAGTACACCATCATGCGACTGTCTTAGTGACTGATCATGGCTCCCCGCCACGAAACTCGACCATGGTGATTTATATCTCAGTTACTGACGTCAATGATAATGCGCCCCATTTCCCGCAGTGTGTCCCTGGGAAGGAGTTACACATCAAGGTATGCCTGGCCGTGATTTTTCTTAGCCTACTTTCTCAATTGCAGTCGAAGTGTACATTTGTTTGGAGCGCCACCTTGTGGTAAGAAGTGAGAGTTTATCAAATCTGGTTATTTCAAGACAACAGAGGCATCAATAGAGGCATTTTTAAAAAGAAAATAATTATATGTAGTATTTGAGATCGCACATTCATCTGTCTTATAATAACATAATTCTGCCCTTTGTATGCAGACATAATGGACCTCATGATGAATGTTCAGAAATAAAGGTGTTTTTTTTTCCCCCCAAAAGTGCCTGCATCGCTTTGTGCAGGTTCCTTAGCAACAGGTGATGTGCTCGTTGGAACGATCTGTAGCGCCAGAGTGGGGAGCTGTGCCCTAAGAGACAGTAAAAATTGATCCTTTTGAGCACATGCACGAACATCCCATTATCTTTTATTACGTAATTCTTTTTCATACCCATGATTTTTAATGTTTTATAATGTATACAATAAATCAGTACGTGAATTTGAATAAAATTAATATACTTGAGGCAACTTTTTCATAATTTTTAAATGAGTATCATACATACTCATTTCCTATATGAAGTGAAATTTTGGAAGCTGCTGCTCCCAAGCCCTTGCATATCACACTGAGTGCATGGAAAACATTTTAAGAGATTCTGAGGACGTCAATCCATTTAACTTAAGCTTCCAAAGCCAGATATAAAGAAACAGCTTACCAAAGCAAAACATTATCATAGTAGGAGGGTGCTTCACAAAGCTCATGGAAATAGTTCATTATATTTTAATTTCATTTCTCCACAAGCTTTCTGAAGTACCCTCATATCTTTATGATTTTTAATTAAATCACTTAAATTATCTGTATCACTGAAATTATCATTGGGCAGTTAGACGCAAAACATGGACTCCACATGTATATTTCAATAGTGCAGGAAAGTTTCTGTTGATTAATGAAATATATTTTCTGTAATAAAACAAATTTTAATTTGTTTTTTCCCTGATGAATAAGAAGATGCTGCAAAACTAAACCAAACTCGTTGAGTCGATGCCTACTCAGACTCCGAGACTGTAACTCTTTGTGAGAGTAGAAAGCCCTGTCATTCTCCCCCGGAGTGGCTAGTGGTTTTGAACTCTTAACCTTGCAGCTCACAGCCCAATGTGTAACCATTACACACCAGGGCTCTGAGAATTCTTAAAACTACATTGAAAACCTAAGATTATTTCTTTTATTCTATTCTTTCCTTCTATGTTTAGACTTCGTCTAAGTGATTCTGATCATTTGTTTACATAGAATCAAATAGTAAACATTTTAGATGATTCGGATCCATATAACTTTTATACAGTAGACATTTGAATTTTATGTGAATTTTAAAATTGTTTAAATTCTTTATAGTAATGTAAAGGACAATTGACATTTCATTTAAAAATTTTCACTAATTGGTCAGCCATTTGTTTTAATGACAGGTTCTGGAAGGTCAACCAGTAAATATGTTAGTGACAACTGTGTTTGCAAAAGATCTTGATGAAGGAAGCAATGGAGAAGTCATATATTCAGTATCTTCAGGTAAAAGTCTCTATGCTTAAAGTACTAAGAGCTTCACAACGTTTATCTTTCAATGATCAATTATGTAGCTACTTCTGACAAAAGGAGGTTCTACTTGGATTACTTAAAATGCTCTAGTTCACTTTGATGATAAGATGAACACAATACACTTCTTATAGTTTAGACTATCCTTCCATAAACAAAGAAGAATTTAAATGCTAATGAAAAATCATAATAGTGTTTCCATATTCTAAATAGGATTTATCCGAGAACTATGAATAAATAGCCCCAATAAATAAATGAATGTTCTCGTCGTCGTTGTTTGGGGTCTCCAGTCTGTTCTGACTCATAGAGAGCCTGTGTGTAAAGCAGAATGAAGCACCGTCCTCACGATCATTGTCCTGTCGGAGCCCATGGCTGCACCACTGTGCCCATCAGGAATAAATGAGTAGCTTATTCTAATCTAATACCAAGGAAAAGAGAAACTGCAAACACTCATTCAAGGATCGTCTTTTGACTATTAGGCAATTAGGTCAGTAATATCTTTATATCTTTTTCCCCCATTTTATTTTTGATTGCGGAAGAGAATCTATTTATTGGTATACTTGTGGGAGAAAATGGGGGTGGAGAGAGAACACACACATATGCATACAATAACAGATTAATATAATTGGCTAAATCTGTTACAGTACTATTATTTGAAAGGAAGCAAAACCATTCTGAATATTATTTATGAATATATGAACTAGGGCTATGCACTCACCACACTTATGAAAATTACTACAAGAATGGATCAAAAGAATGAGATATACACAGATCCCACTCTGGTATCGTTTGTCATTTCTGCAAATATTGAGACGTGATCAAAGTGGAAAGTTAAAATGTGGATGGTTATCATAATTTTTCTGAAGGTATGAAGTTGTTATTAAAATCAACTTTTTAATTGTATGTTACTCAAGCAGAGCAATAGAAAACTCTAAGTATATATACTTTGCTATTCCTATTTCTTTCATATCATCTGATTAGAAAATAATGGCAACTGCAAAATATAATAAAATGAAATAACAAGATAAAAATCAGCATGTTCCCCAATGTTCCTATGGGATTAGAGCAAATTCATGAAAGCTAGAAATAACCAGTAAAGTTTGCATAATTTTCTGCTCTGAACTCTGAGTTCTTTGAAGGGAAGCTTCCTTTTGTATTGGTTTCTTTATTCTCCATAACGGGTAAAGTTCCTGGCTATGGTGATAACGCAGCAATTGTCACATCAGAGAGTGAAAGGAAGTTTCTAGATTTTAGCTGTGCCTTGGCACTTTGGATTGTTTGAAGTATTCAGATTTTGTTCAAGAATAAAGATTTGTAATTTAACTAAAGGGAACAACAATTGGTTCAAAACCAATGGTAGGGAAGGGATGGGAGGACTGGTAGGGAGTGACCAAGGGCAAGGCAACTTCGAGGAACTACGGAAACCAGAATGAAGGCTGAACATGGTATTGGGACTGGAGGAAAGCGTAAAGAAATAGAGGAAAGAAGTAGGAGGCAAAGGGCATACATACAAGCCTAAATACAGACATGTACATATGTAAATATATTTAA